AGGAGCATCAAACTACCCTCCTTCAGGACATTCAACAAAGCCTAGCCGTGTTGGCAGGCCGTGCTCAGGCAGCACCATCACCAGCAGGGCCTGGTGCCTGGCCCGTGCCATATACTCCTCTTTCTGTTCCACCGGTGACTGGGGTATCCCCATATGTAGCCCCTTCATCRGTTGCTATCGTTTCCCTGGGCATGCCTCTGTCAGGAGGGGTAACAGCAGGGAGTAGTTTGCAGGTTCTTGTTCAGACAATGTTTACTCCAAGTCCGTCACAGGTTGCAGTCACCACGCAGCCTGCTGTCTCACAGTCAGTGCAACCTCAGGGCACACAGCCCCAGCAGCTAGCACAACAACCTGTATCGCCGGGTCCACAGCCCGGGTTGGTGCAGGGACCGGGACAAAGTCAGTGGGTTCCAAAGACGGCCATCGCCGCTCCCAAACCCTTTATAGGGGACAAGAGAGGCGAAGATCTCGACACATGGTTGAGGGCAGTGCCGGTCTATGTCAGGTGTAAACTCACCTTGCCACACGAAGAAGTGCTTGTGGCTGCTTCCTACCTGGAGGGTAATGCAGCGAGATGGTTGAGTGGGTTAGTGCAACTCCAGGGGTACGGTCATGACTTCCGCTCTTGGGCAGCCTCTCAAAAATTGGAGGACTTCCTGGAAATGGTGGAAGACAGGTGGCATGATCCGCAGGAGGCTCAAAAGGCCACTGATGCGATCCTGACACTGCACACTCGGCAGTTTAAGTCAGTAAGGGATGCCACCGACGYTGTAGAGCGTTTGATTTGTGTTCCARGGGTACKCTATGACCCCCAGGTCCTGCTAACTTCGTACTTGAGGACCTTATCTCTGCCGCTCAGGAACCAGTTGGTGAAAGAGGCCAACATTAATATGCACAACTTTCCTTCGTTCAGCAAGGTGGCCCTAGACCTAGAAGCAAAGATAGGGCATGGACAGGCACCCACTACGGAAGGGAGAAAGAAGACACTGCCTCCCAACTGGAAGGCGAAGGGTCGCTTAATGTTTGTCGACAATGATGGTTCAACCATCGAGTTGGACGGCAACCTCCAAGAGGGAGTAGGTGCAAAGGCAGGTGGCGATACTTCAGAGGGTGGAGTAGTCGCCGCCGTAACCCAACAAAAAGGTAAAGGGACCGGTAGACGCCCTAGGGGATCCCGGTCGAAGAGTCAAACAGACCCCAATGCTCCTCCATGGGAGAAAGCGGGTCTAGCTGAGGACATGTGGAGAGATCGGTGGGCACGGCAAACTTGTATCAAGTGTGGCCAATATGGTCATAGCATGTACAAGTGCCGCAATAGGAAGGTCACCGAGAAGATCCCGCCCACTATGGGGTCGGCAGTAGGATCCTCTCAAACCGTTGGTAGCAATGTTGCTAGTTCTTCAGGCAGTGCTCCGGGAAACACATCGGGCCAGTAGGGATAGTAGCTGTTCCTACTAGGGTCGCGATGGTGGATTCACCCTCACCTTCGCGAGAGATGGCCCAAGCTACAAACTCTTCAGTCGTCCCGCAAACACATTCAGCCCCATCGACCCTCTGTTCGATGAATGTGTTTGAATCCTTAGAGGAGCTAGAGCATCAGTGGTCTAGATCAGATCCACTAGCTTCTTGGACGGCGTTAGTTAAAGCCCCTAAGAGTGAAATGTTTGTCAGCGAGGTAGTCATAGGAGGCCGCAAGGCTGGGGCCTATTACGACACTTGCTCGACTAGAAACTTTATGAGCCGTGCGTGCGTTGAGAGGCTGCGCTTACAGGGGCAAGTGCAACGCCTGAGTCGACCTGTGGACTCGACCTGTGCCAACAAACAGCGTATGGTAGTTAATGACTACCTCCATGATGTAGAGTGTGCTTTCCCGTACGCGGGAGGGGACTTGAGACATCGTGTCTCATTCCTGGTGAGTGACGAGCTCCCAATGGACATGTTACTAGGTATGTACTACCTCTCTGTAGCACATCCCCAGTTTGACTGGGACCGAAAAGTGGTCAAACACACGTTGCTAGGTGGAGGGACCGCCAGATTACATAAGTTCAAAGTTAGTAGTCTGATCGAGTCCTATGGGTGCATGTGTGCGGCCGCATTCTATCATTATTATAAGCAAAATCAGGAGGAGGGTATGTACTTAGTCTATGTCTCTGCTGCAGCCGAGCCGGTGAAAATGCCGCCAGAGATAGAGGGAGTAGTTGCTAAGTACCCTGATCTATTTGAAGAGCCGACAGGGGTTGTTGAGAGGGAGGTCGTCCACGCGATAGAGATTATCCCAGGGTCTAGTATTCCAAGGGGTAGGATCTATCGGATGTCTCCAGGCGAGCTTTATGAGCTTCGCCGCCAACTCAAGGAACTCGTAGAAAAGGGCTGGATCCGGCCGAGTGTCTCTCCTTATGGGTCTCCAGTTTTATTCGTGCCTAAGAAGAAGGAGGGAACTCTAAGGATGTGAATTGACTATAGGGGCCTCAATGCCATCACTGTGAAGAACAGAGAGCCCCTACCGCGCAACGATGATCTGTTAGATAGAGTGCAAGGGTGTCGGTACTTCAGTAAAATAGATCTGAAGTCCGGGTACCATCAGATTGCAATCCGGCCCGAGGATCAACACAAAACTGCATTTCAGACCAGGTACGGTCTATACGAGTTTGTGGTGATGCCTTTTGGCCTTTGCAATGCTCCTGGCACCTTTCAGCACGCTATGAATCGGATATTCCATGACTACTTGGATAAGTTTGTCGTCGTGTACCTYGATGACATACTTATTKTTAGTARGACTGTCTAGGAGCACGTAGCACACTTAGACAAAGTTCTCAGTCTCCTGCGACAGCACAAGTTCAAGATCAACGGTGAAAAGTGCGAGTTTGGCCGCACCCGTATCTTGTACTTGGGTCATGAGATCTCCGCGGAAGGGTTGAAGCCCGATGACGCGAAGGTGGCCAGCATTCGTGATTGGCCATGTCCTCAGTTTGTGACTGAGATGAGATCTTTCTTAGGAATGACAGGCTACTATAGGACTTTCGTTAAGAACTACAGCATAGTGGCCGCTCCTTTGACTGATCTGACCCACCTTGACACCCCTTGGGAGTGGACAGATAAGTGCGAGGCTGCTTTCAGACATCTGAAGCATGCATTGACGCACTATGAAGTCTTGAAACTTCCTGATCCTAACAAGCCGTTTATAGTTACAACGGATGCCAGCCAATATGGCATTGGCGCTGTGCTTGCGCAGCAGGAGGGGCCAAAGTTGAGGCCAGTAGAGTACATGTCCAAGAAAATGTCGTCTCAGAAGTTGGCTAAGTCCACTTTTGAGAAGGAACTCTATGCGGTGTACAAGGCTCTCACCCATTGGAGACACTACCTCCTTGGGCGGTTCTTCATCCTCCGGACTGATCATCAGACCCTGAGATGGATGAGAACACAGCCGGTACTCTCTGACGCTCTCAAGCGTTGGATCGAAGTCATTGAGCATTATGACTTTGACCCTCAGTATCTCAAAGGGGAGTACAACAAGGTTGTTGATGCCTTGTCGCGCAGACCAGACTTCTCAGGTGTGCTGATTATTGAGTTCGATCTGACGGACGATGTTACTCAGTCTTTGGTGGAAGCCTATCGTCAGGACCAGTTTATGTCTGAGATCATACACAGACTTGAGGCGAAGGATAAGAAGACCTCCGCCAAGTTTGAGTTGGTCAATGGATTGCTGTTCCTAGAGAAGGCAGGGAATAAACGCTTGTGCGTTCCAAACAGCGAGTCTTTGCGTAGTTTGTTTTTAGGCGAGTGTCATGATGCCACCGACCATTTTGGGTACAAGAGGACTTGCTGCAGCGGTTCTGGTGGCCCACGATGATGAAAGATGCACAGTTGTACGTGGAAACTTGTCAAGTATGCCAAAGAGACAAGCCCCGTACTCAAGCTCCTCTTGGGTTGCTCAAGCCCCTTCCGATTCCGGAAAGGCCGGGTGAAAGTTTATCCATGGACTTCATGGATACGCTGGTCACCAGCAAGAGTGAGATGAGACAGATCTTTGTCATCGTGGATAGGTTTAAGTTCCTTGTTCAGCTGCAGCGGCCTTCCATAATTCACTCGTGAACCTGACGTCCTTGTCACTGACTATAGACTTCGGCAGTCCAAAGTCTCTAACCCAGTTTTCTTTAAATAGCCTGATCACGTACTCGGTCTTTGCTGTTTCTGGCATAGCTATTAATCTAGCATTAATAGCTATGCCAGAAACAGCAAAGACC